GTCCCTAGTGGGTTTGTTTTAGCTATATGATCATAGCGCGATCCTCTATCAAGACCTAGAAACTGTGAAATGTGAGGCAAGAACATTGAACCAGCAACAGGGGGTGACACACTATCGATCTTTTCCCCGATCAAGACCCCGAACCAAGCAGGGAGAAGGGAGATAAATAACAGCAAAATTTCACTCCGAACATTTCCCCGAACAAGACCAAGACCAGACGAATTCTACCGAGCGCGGCAAAAGGGAGTTTAGAGAGAGATGGAGAGTGTGTGCGAGTGAGAGCGCGTTAAAGGTCACTTTTTGAAAACTTGTCGCAAAAATAAAATATTCTAGTAAGGATGCTTAGTTATATGTATTGATTTTTATTGGTTTTATTCATTGAAATAACGTTACAGAATGATCATTTTTTAATAATATTAATGTTTATATTAATTTTGAAAAAATGTAAAACAACATCAATTACTTAATTCACTTTAATATTATTGATATAATTTATTTAACGGTTTCTACATTTTCAACCTTGACCAAACAAACCACAACATTACATCTTAAATGATCATAATATATAACGGGAACATATTACCCAACATTTATTTATTTTACCAATTAAAGGGTCTAATTGCCATATTAAATTATAACTCAACGTTAGGCAGCCGCTCGGTGCGGCGCTCGCGACGGCGTACGGGGCAATAATATACCGTGACACACTATCGTACATCACTCCGTACATCGGACCGATCTTTTCTTTGATCTTTCGCCAAAAAACCGCCTCCAGAGCGCTCGTCTCCCTGCTCGGCCTGATATCTGGTTCGCCGTCTGGATCGGTGTACGGACCCGTGACACACTATCGAACATCCTCCCTTCGACCTCCCTTCTCCCTGCTCGGTTCGGGGAAAAGATCGATAGTGTGTCACCGTCTTTAGAATAAAAACAAGGCAACCGATATTATAAGCACGCTTGGTCATAATTAATTGTATTGTAAGACAGCTGAGTCCCACCCTTTCTAGCTATAAGAATGGAAATAAAATAACGTTCCTATGTTCATATCTCCTGCTACTATTATCGGATTTTGTTGCGTACTATTTGAGTTGCTTGTTTAATATCTCCATTTGCCCGCCATTATCACAATTAGATCACTGTAAATGGCCAAGTCGTTGAAATGACGAGATGAAGGAAATATATAGGCTTAAGACGGTGAGAACTCTGTCACTACAACCTGTGAGTGATCCATAAATCTATCAGTACCTACTGTAGAGGAGTAGCAGGGCAATGCATTGCGACAGTAGACCAACGCTGTGGACTTACATGGTAAATACATAACATTTAGGTTGATAACCATACAAAATTTTGAAATCACTTAAAAAAATTATCTTATTGAGTTAAAGAACCCTCACTTAAAAGATTTTTTCTGATTACCTAAGTTTGATTATAGTAATATTTTAGATTTAGAGAAGGCCTATACATTATTACCAGATAGCTCACAACCACCCTATGTAGTATACAAGTCTTTCTAAATTTTCAGGGAATATACATAGTTATTATCCATGCACTGATATTTAGAATACAACGGTCCCAGATCTTTTAGACGGCGCCGCCCTGACCGGAAGTTGCTGCTAGCTCCCGCAAACTCCCGATAAGACTGTTGTGCATGTATTTGAAATACACTCTAAAAGACAACTTACATAATGACAACTCTTAAATAATGTATTAGTATGGTATCACGTCTTGTATATTGTACATTTTTGCATTGTAAAACCACGTTTAAACCCAAGTTGACAACAAAACGTTTACAACCTAAACGACTGTTGCTCTGCACAAATTTTAAAAACTAGTGGAAGATTTTTTGTTGAAAACCAAAAGATGCTCCTCACTAATTTAGAGCAACTAGAGAAAACTTGTTTTTGTTGTAAACTTTGTTTGCTCGACTCTCCACGTGAATCCAAAATTTAGTGGACGACTTGTCCCTCCACTAGTGGACGACAGATAAATTTGCTGTATTTTTTTGAAAAAGCAACTAGTTTCCGCAGCTAGTGGAAGACTTTGGTGTAAACGCGGCTTTAAATGCCAGAATTTGGGATTGGTTGTATCCATTGGACTTATACCATAACAAGTCATTTATTTATAAATATTGCAATACACATGTAGGCCTAAACATGCATTGCAGACTACAGAGTTGCACTGAACATGCAGCATTTCCGGCAAGATACTGTATGTTGAACAATTTTGTGTAGGTGTTTCTACACCAGAGTCATTTTTTACAGTTCGTGTGTTTTTTTAACTGCCCCCCCCCCCCCCTTAAACCCCTGATCTTGTTAACCTTAAACGTCGACATTTTGTTATTATTGGGGACAACAAATGAATGGCCGTGTTTAATGAGATCTATCATAAACGTTATGAATCACACTAACGGTTATTTATCTTATAAACGAAGCATAGCAGGGTTTGGTGGGAATTAATTCGATGCAACAACCGATAGTAATCCAATAGTTGAATTAAGTGCACAGTTTTGGAGAGAACCTTTGGAAAATTAAAACGTAAAAAGACGATGTTTCGTCAGGAACTTACTCGAACACCTATCGATAAACGATAAACTCATCTAAAATTCGAATGCAGTGTAGTGATGGTGGGGACGTACGGTAGAATCGAACGTAGAACAATCGATTGTACTCATCCGATAGTTGAACGCAGTGCGGGGGTTGATGGAAACGTCGGGCCTCATGTCTGTCCTATGAAGGCGCCACCGGTGCCTGGACAAAATATGCCGCCCGCAACTCTGCTCTCTCATTGGTCGAAACCATCACCGTTGCCCTCCACTGCTGGCGTTCCTATAGTTAATACGAAATTAAGATTTAAGAAAAATCTAAGATTTAAGAAAAACGAGAGACAGGCGAGACTTGAAGACGCGGGCCCGTCTGTCCGCCGCCGCGCCATCTGCAGACTCGGCCAAGTTTTGGAGATGGGTAGTAGTGAAATGGGCTCCGTCAGCCGATGGGCAAAAGATCAGGCAAAAGATGCTTTTGTATGTCCCTGTTTGTGTCGCTATTTTTCAACCGATTGTCTTGGAACGTGGAAATCTTTTAGTTGGATAGGTAGGTACATCAGGGCCAACATACCTCAAAATGTTAAAATCGTTCGCAGAAAATTCTCACCGACGTTGCAAAGTAGTTGAATTTCCCGTACTTTTAAGATTTTTTTTTATAATACTAAAATTGCGTTTAACCAATATATAAGGTACCAGAGCTGTAGAACTAGCCTTTAACCACAGAAAACATATACTACTATAACCGCTTTAACTGATACAAAATGATTTTAGTTTTGATATTTGAAAATAGCTTCCGAAACAGGGGAATACCAAGACATGTTTTTAGCGTTTTTTATGGGGTGATGAAGACTCTTAGCATTGACTATTGGATACTGAGGTAGTAATCCCATCTATATGGACCAGCTGTTGCGATCTTTTTATAAAAAAATAACATAGTTGTGTGAGCCAGTCACATAGTCCGCTAGTATCTTAAATTTCTGCCTTATTTTTGTCACTAGCCAAGTTGATGGGTCGTAATAGTTGCAGTTTTATATTGTGTTTAGCTCTCAATAAGTCATTCAATTAGTTTTATTTGGTAAATAAGTTCGTGTATTCAACAGAAATGGGTAATTTATACCAGCATAATCCGTCGATGGTTCGCATCAACTACGACGATTTGAATCAAATAAACTGGTGACAACTTAACCAAAGTTATTAATACCCACTTAATATAAATGGAAAGATACTGAAACCAACGAAGTAGCAAGATCTAAAGCATTGAACTAAGTAATGAGCAATGACGTGCCTCAAAATCACTGTTGCGGTTGGTAAGAAGAATAGGGATTTTCTCATTCCCGATTTCCCTGAATGTTACCAAACTGACCTCCCCTAACTGGGGAATCCGCTGTGACCATATCACGTCATGCATTTTCAGTACGCCTAATCGATGATAACCGAGATATTTCAAAAATAATTATCACACTCAGCAGAATGAACTTTAGGAGGGAACGCTAAAGGAAAGTTGACGATAATGTAATCTACTTAAGTGCCGGCAAATAAAATGGTTATATTACCAAGATTAGATGTAACCGATAGTTTTGCAATTGGAATCATATGCCGATCATCAAGAATGTGGTAGAGTACAATGATCATCGATGTATAATACTCTTGATTGTTTAAAATCACCAAACACCAATAAAGGAATCCCACCAAACATTGATCTCCCAAACTCTTCGGTTTTATATTTGAACCGCCTGTAAATATTCGACATAGGCCTATTAATGAGTAATTTTGAAAAGTATGCCTCATCACTATTATACCAGATGCTGAAAACTCGTCCACTAATTTAATACACTCTGACACACTTCAAAATAAAATAACACGAATGTCAGTAAATCCCTTAAACCCCCCTTTCTGAAGCTTGTAAGCTTGATTTAATCATATTATTGAATACCCTAATGCCAGTGTGCTAAGACATTAATAAAAAAAATACCTAATTTAAAAGCACATGTGAAAGTAAAAATACTTTAAATTAAAACAAACAAATTAACTCAGCCAATTCCAATGTAATTATTCTACAAGATTAACATGGCAGCTTTGAAGGCTATTATGCTCATTTTGGAACTTGCACAGCTTCAGAGTGTGCTCTTTATTGACACAACAAACTTCAAAGCTGCTAAAAACTCTAAGAGGAGTCCTGTTCACGAAATAAACCCTCAAAACTAATTATTTAGGAATCTCTACAAAACACATAATTCGATATTTTTAACTCTAAAACAAACAATTTTCTAGAATCGAGACCTGAGTCCCTAAACATGAAGGGCTAATCGGCTAATACGAAGAACGATTAATCTTTTATACAGTATATAGTCTATTATGGCAAAGCCTGACCGGTGCAGAAGATACTTTGGAATCGAACACAAAAATCTAATATCGACACGAAGATTTTAAGGTGTGTGATCTGACTGTTTGGTTGCAGGTGATAGGCGGGACGAGTGTCCTGAACGGCATGATGTACATGAGGGGGTCCAGGAAGGACTACGACGACTGGGCTAAGCTCGGCAATTCTGGCTGGAGCTACCAAGACGTTCTGCCGTACTTCCTGAAATCTGAAGACAACCTGCAGGCTGATATCATGGACCCTGGCTTCCACGGTGTCGGAGGATATCTCCCCGTCACTCAGTTCCCCTACCATCCGCCACTGTCGCACGCTATCCTCCAGGCGGCCATCGAGGTGGGATACCCCGTCCGCGATGTGAATGGTGCCCAACACACGGGGTTCGCAATTGCACAGACTACTAGCAAGAACGGGTCCAGATACAGCACGTCACGAGCGTTCTTGAGACCAGTCAAGGACAGACCTAACCTGCACATCCTCTTGAACACCACTGTCGCCAAGGTCTTGGTTGATCCCATCAAGAAGATGGCGTACGGAGTGGAGGTCGTTAGAGGCGATGGAAGGAGAGAGAAGATTCTCGCTAAGAATGAAGTCGTGGTGAGTGGAGGTGCTGTCAATTCACCACAGATTCTTCTCTTGTCAGGTATCGGACCACAGGACGACCTTACCCAGGTGGGTGTCCCAGTGATCCACCATCTCCCCGGAGTGGGTAGAAACCTGCACAACCACGTCGCTTTCTTCCTCAGATTCTTTATCAACGACACCTCGACGACTCCCCTCAACTGGGCCACTGCCATGGAGTACCTTCTCTTCAGGGACGGGCTGATGTCCGGCACGGGGCTGTCTGAGGTGACCGGTTTCGTCAACTCCAAGTATGCGGATCCATCCGAAGATCACCCAGATCTACAGTTCTTCTTTGGCGGTTTTCTCGCCAACTGCGCTCGCACTGGTCAGGTCGGCGAGAGGACGGGAGACGCCAACGCCACGGGACCCCCTCCACAACGAGAGGTCAACATCATCCCCGCTGTCCTCCATCCCAAGAGCCGCGGATATCTCCGCCTCAGAGACAACAACCCGCTGTCGCCTCCGATGATCTTCGGCAAATATCTCACAAACCCCGCTGACGTCGCTACTCTCATCGAAGGAATCAAGTTCGGTATACGGCTGTCCGAGACCAGGGCCCTGCAGAAGTACGGGTTCCGGCTAGATAGAACTCCGGCAATGGGGTGTGAAAACATCTCGTTCGGCTGTGACGCCTACTGGGAATGCGCCATCAGAAGAAACACGGGCCCGGAGAACCATCAGGCTGGAAGCTGTCGCATGGGTCCTCCGGGAGACCCCGGGGCTGTGGTCGACCCGGAGCTCAGGGTGCACGGCGTGGATCGCCTGAGGGTGATAGACGCTTCCGTGATGCCTTCGGTCACCTCAGGGAACACCAACGCCCCGACCATCATGATCGCGGAGAAGGGGTCGGACCTCATCAAGAGCAGGTGGATCGGCAAACAGCTGTGGACCAAGTGGTGACGGTGCTTAATACATTGTAACATACCGTGTATCAAATGTACATATATTTGGAACAAAGCCTAAGTGAACAAACTGATTCACTATTCAGTTAAGAATTGTGGTGTGTCATTTAAAACGTTGTTTTATATAAATGTCGTATGGGTATGTGCTAAGAGCTTTAAAACATTTTGGGTGTTTTGGTTTTTGTATATATTATTTTTTCAATCTAAAATATTGAAACTATAACTGAAGGTTTTTAAACAGTTTGTAAAATCTGGTTACAGTGATTAAACCAGAGAACTCAACAATACGTTATTAGACCTCTGGTCAGATGGCTTTAATATATTTAAGTTTATTTATTTATTATTAATATCAAATATAATTTGTTATTCTGACTTTTCAGTCTTTTTGTTTAACTTTATGTAATTAATATTTCAGCAATTTATTCAGGATTATATCAGATACCAATCCTCCCCGTTAGATTTAAATAATTGTATAACAATATTCTATTTGAATCGACAACAGTTTTCATAATATAGTGTTGTAGTCCTTTTATTGTATATATATACAATAAAAGTGTGTTGTATATATATATTTACTTGAGTGTTTTGTATTGCTGATCATATGAAATCATAAACTAATTGGTAAATATAAAAGTAATTGAGTATTTTGATTGAGCTTTTTGTTTAAGTTATTTAATATTTTTGGTATTTATTAATACCAAAAAATCTTCAAACGGATACAAACTAATTGTAAATACTTGTAGCTATACATCTTTTGCTTTACAAAAAATCAACCACCAACATTGCCAATTGATGACAGTTTATTTTTTGAAATCGCATAGAATGCCTTTAAAACACTTCTTTGTTAGTGCAAAAATTAAACACGCATCGCTAGATGTATGTATATTACAGTTGTGTTATTATGACGAGTGTATAACCGATTTGTTGTGTTTTGAATTTTAAACCTATGTGTCATGAACACAGATACAAATATTTTTAGTATTCTAGTATTTAGTTCAAGTTAATGCATTGTCAGTTTCCTGATAAATTAGAGATTAGTTCGTTTAGTATGTTTTACTTTAATAATGTTCTTAGTTTGTTCTTTACTATTATCATGTTTATATTTTGTTCATTACTATTATGCTTGTAACTTTTTATTCATGTAAAGATGTTGTTAGATCTACAGAAACTAGTTTTAGATAAACGTCATAACATCTAACGAACAATTTATGTCAAACGATTCGTGTTCCAATCAAAACCTGTAAATATATACTGAAGTATAAAAATCATGATTCTGTTCAATTCTATCTCCTATGCTCATGTTTTCTTACTAGCTCATAGCAGTTACAAGTATTGTTGAAAACATAGCTAATAGTCACATACAAACTCCGACAAAATCGAATATTGGGCAGTTGGCCGGGGGAGGAGGAGAAAAAGACTCTTCAATCTGTACATTCTATGATTGGTGTCGAACTCTGCCCTTAGGTTTGTGTACGTTTTTGTTTGCAAACTCTGAACTGTAATGATAATTTATATATTATGTAATGAGTCATAAAATCGTCACTAAATTCCCCCCAATGACCAGTCCACCGCAAAAGTGTTAATATTTTTGAATCACTTTGATTTGCAAACAACGTTGGTTAGTGTTGAGTGTTGAAATCAATTACGAATAAATGTATAACAAAATATGCATTAGGATAGAGAATATGCTACATTATAGAATAGTAAGTAGAATGAAATCAGCCAATATCTGCTGTCTGACAGGGTGATACTATGGGAAAACCCCAATTGGTAAATACAGTGTTATAAATTTAATACTTTTGGCCTTGTGGATATAAATAGCACGTCAAAACGAAGCTTATATAGCACATCAAAGCTGTTTCAGCTAGAGCCATTTTTCTATTTCTTGAAAACAATATCCTTCAATTGACGTCCTAGAAATACTCAACATTCACTTGAACTCGCTTGACAATTCGCGGATCCTTGTGTACTAGCCGTCCTGAGAATTACGGCTCACTCACCCCCACAGCCCACAACCCTCAGCCGCTGCACTGACGGCTTGCCGTGTGGGCCAGATGTTTTTGGAAATGCGCAATAAACACTCCCCTCTACACCACCCTACCTAGCGCTAGCGCGGCCGCCCAGCCCAGACCTGGCCCAGTGGCCTAGACCAGCCCAGACTAGCTGCGGCTACTGTACTACGGTTCTACGGTATTACCACAGACAATGGAGTAAACCAACATTGTAGGAAATTTTATTCTCTTTCGGAATATTACCTTCCACTTTGGTCGATTTCCTCACCATTTAAAAGTTATTTGCAAAGCGTCAAGCAACCTCCAAATTTCTAGTGCTAAAAAACGTTGTAGATTACTTTTTAACTTGGTACAATTAAATCTACAGTTCTGCTGGATCGATTTTGTTAAATAATGTGTCTTTGGAAGGCATAAAATCTTTGAGTTGCTTTTTCGTTTGATGTGTATTTTATAGCGGTAAGTTTAATACTGTAGTATAAAAGTTATAAAGCGTTAAAGCCGGGTCATTCATTTTGAAACACGCGGTAGATATCGATTGCTTTGTCAATTTCAGTTACATTTTGCATTGTTATCGACTGAGTTGTAGCATGTTTACCTGAAATGTTATCAATTGATAACATAAAACCAAAACCAAACTCCTTGCAAGAATGATATACAAGATAAGCCAAGAGATAACGATATTAACGGTGGGGAGACCAGGTGCATTTCATTTCTGCCAGTGCTAATGAGTTGACCGGTTGTTTATTATTTTATACGAATAATTAGTTGTAGTGTTATTGTAATCAAATCGAATCCAGAAGATTTGAAGACGATTATTCTGTAAGTACTGTATTGAAAATAATATATCCACCATTTAGTTGTAATCAAGTAACTACTGCAACTAAATAGTATGCTCTAATAGCACAATTTAATTGTAACCCACAGTTTAACTCTGGAAATACTCAGAATGCGGAAAAGATTCTGTTAGGCGTTTTATACTGTATCCGTATACAGTATAACCTATTACCATACAAGTATTTGAAACTCATCACAACAAACAATTCTAAACATATTTACAATTTATCAAGCATATAATATTGCTTTCAAATAATAAATAGCTACACATTATATTTTTTCCTACAGTTACTGTAAAACATATAAATAATTAGTCTTTCAAACACTATACAACACGTTTTTAGGTTATTCCAACTTATTTTCAAGCGTTCACGTTTACACACACTGTTTTGTGTTGTTTGGTTGGAATACTGGAGTGCGGCAAAAGTAAGTAAATGCAGCAATTAGCTACTTTGCGTGCCATAATCAGTGCAAGGCATCGATGGTGCAAGGAAGTCCACTTTGTCAGGTAACCGTAGGAAAAAACATATTCTTTATTACAATCAATAGTTCAAAGTGTTTCAAATATTATGGTTTTTGTCAATACATAATTACAGTTGTTTGATCATGGAACGTTTGGGCGTTTATGGTCATCAGGTCATCATATACAGATTGCCTCGGAATACCAGTCCGGCATCTGGTCGTCATAAGTGTTTTTCATTGGTTTACATTATTCCATTATTCCGCGCTCAAGGCGTAAACATATTTTCAACTTTTTCCCGACAATTTTGTTGTAATTGGCAACTTTATAGTTTGCTATTACTGTAAGAGTGTAAAGTAACAGAGAAAGTTTGTAAAGAGATTTTAAAACTTTGATAAGTTGATGAGATTAACCATTTAATCACAGGCATGTTGGGTATTAAGATATATTGAATATCATTTGTTTATATTGTCGTGATTATATCATTACATTCTGGATTCAACATAATTCAATTTTAATCTTTCATCTAATCAGGGCTAAAATAGCTTGGTCAGATGTGTTGGGAGGGGGGGGGGATGGTGATACTGGGTAGGATGGTTGTTGCTGACAACCCATAAAATAATAAAACACCTAGAGTCCTTTAATTTGAGGATTGCTGACCATGATAACTACATACAAACTATAAAGAAATGTTATTCATTGTTACCCTTGGTTGGAATATATAATTGATAAAATAGAAGAATTACCTCATCCAACACTGTCAGAATCACAATAGTAAATCTAGTCATGTTGATCAAATTATTAAAATTTGATAAAAAGTGATAAAACTGGTTAAAACTATAAAAGCACTGTCTTATCACTGTCACTGACTAAATAAAACTCTAGTGTTTTAAAGAATCTTTTGACATACCACAATATTTTAATACATTGATGATGTGGTTGCATACAATGACCTGACGATGTTCTAAGGAACGAAACTAGCTGCCATAACAGCAACTGTAACTGTGGTTGGAAGGTAATTCTTCTATTTTATCAACTATAAAGAAACCCAGCAGCTTACAGACAGACCCATCATGGAGTACTGAATGATCAACGATCTATTGAGCCTATTTAGATGAAAGAGGACAACGGGTAGTTTGGCAGGTATAAGTCCCTTCCCCCCTATATTTTTCTACACTTTTACAATTATGTTTAACTATATGATTCATTTTATGTGTATATACTTAAATTTTTGTAGTTAGTTTAAAATTTGGGAGTTACCTAAGGTTCAAGACGTAGGAGTCATACTCAGAATTATTTATGCGAAGATATAGTAAGATAGGACGACACGTCGTCGTCTATTTACGCTGCATTTTCCCATAAAACATTGCGAGATACAATCAACATTTAAGAAATGTACTTAATTAACATATCTGTAGGTATAAGACATCGCAGTTGACTTGATTGTTTTCATGTGAAGCTAGTCACATTACATTGTAAGATAAAACTATATTTTACCAATGAAAACAATGGGAAATTAAAAGGTTTACAGTTATCAAGATATCTCAGCAATATGTAGGAGTAAACTTGAACGTTTTAATGAAGTCATGCGATTGACATGTCACGGTATAACGTGTCATTCGAATTGAAAGTTGTAATGGGGAACTTTATTGTCCTAGGACGCTAGGCACGAGCTCAGAATTGCTTGCCGTCTTTCTTCAGGCCATAGACTGTTCCCAAGTCTATGTTTAGGCTGGACCTAGGGGTTGCGGCATTATCACTTAGATGAAATCAATTGGTTATTTGGCGGGAACCCGGAACTTGAGGCACCGTTTCTACGATAAGCTAGTCATGCGACATGTTAAATAACACTATCTTCTCTCAATGAAAACATTTGTGCAATCGAAATTCAAAATGGTTGTACCGTTTCCGAGATATTTGTAGGTCTGAGATGTAGAAGTTGACTTTTCGTTTCTACGATAAGCTATTCATGCGACGTGTTAAATAACGCTATCTTCCCTCAATAAAAACAGTGTTACGATTTAAATTCAAAAGCGTAAAACCCTTTTCAAGTTTTTTGTTGGCGTAAGGTGTAGGAATCAAATCCCACGTGTTATGATACGTTAGTGATGTGACTAGTCAAATAACACTGCTTCCCCTGCCTAAAAAGGGTAGTGATATCTAAATGCAAAAGGGTTGTACCGTTTCCAAGATATCTGTAGGCGTAAGATATCTGTAAGAGTCGATTTAAGTATATTTAATTTACGAGAAGCTGGCCATGAAACCCCTCGCTCCCTTTACCTCCGTTTACCTCCTGCAAACGCTGAAATTAAATTCAAAATTAAAGCACCGTTTTCAAGATATCTTAGGTCTAAAATGAATGAATAGACCTATATGTTCTAACAAAAAGGCAGTGTATGACATGTTGCATTACTAGCTTATCATAGAAACGTAAAGCCCACTTCTACATCTCAGACCTACAAATATCTCGGAAACGGTACATCCATTTTAAATTTCGATTGCACAAATGATTTCATTGAGAGAAGAAAGTGTTATTTGACATTTCGCATGGTTGGCTTATCATAGAAACGTAAAGCCCACTTCTACATCTCAGACCTACAAATATCTCGGAAACGGTACAACCATTTTAAATTTCGATTGCACAAATGTTATCATTAAGGGAAGAAAGTGTTATTTGACACGTCGCATGGTTAGCTTATCATAGAAACGTAAAGTCAACTTTTACATCTCAGACCTACAAATATCTCGGAAACGGTACATCCATTTTAAATTTCGATTGCACAAATGTTTTCATTGAGAGAAGAAAGTGTTATTTGACATGTTGCATTACTAGCTTATCATAGAAACGTAAAGTCAACTTCTACATCTCAGACCTACAAATATCTCGGAAACGGTACAACCATTTTGAATTTCGATTGCACAAATGTTTTCATTGAGAGAAGAAAGTGTTATTTGACATGTTGCATTACTAGCTTATCATAGAAACGTAAAGTCAACTTCTACATCTCAGACCTACAAATATCTCGGAAACGGTACAACCATTTTGAATTTCGATACAAATGTTTTCATTGAGAGAAGAAAGTGTTATTTGACATGTTGCATTACTAGCTTATCATAGAAACGTAAAGTCAACTTCTACATCTCAGACCTACAAATATCTCGGAAACGGTACAACCATTTTGAATTTCGATTGCACAAATGTTTTCATTGAGAGAAGAAAGTGTTATTTGACATGTTGCATTACTAGCTTATCATAGAAACGTAAAGTCAACTTTTACATCTCAGACCTACAAATATCTTGGAAACGGTACAACCATTTTGAATTTCGATTGCACAAATGTTTTCATTGAGAGAAGAAAGTGTTATTTGACATGTCGCATGACTAGCTTATCATAGAAACGTAAAATCAACTTTTACATTCATTAAAACTGTTGAAGACGACTCCTAAAACTTAGACGTAGGCTACAGCTACTGTGTTTTGAAAACGGTACAATTGTTTTTGATTTTGAGTTCTTAGCAGTTCATACAGATCAAGCAATTTTGAAACTGGCCAAACTAGTTCGTGTGAATGTTATCATTTATATGTGTGGACTTAAATATTAGCAAATTAACACTTTGGGAATATTGCATATTATATCGTATACAGATACGATCAGCTGGTTTTATCTACAAATATCTTGAAAACTATGAAATCCTTTTCATAGTTTGCAGGACTTGTTTTTGAGGAGAAAAAGAAAAGGTGGTGTTATTAACACATAGTAGTCTATATATCTTCTCATAATAACGACTCGACTGGTACACCATAGACATCTTGAAAATGGTACAACCCTTTTGAATTTCGATCGCACCACTGTTTTTTGAAGGAAAGACAGTGACATGTCACATGACTGATTATACAGAGAGGTAACCTAAATTTTACACATCTTTTGACCCCTCATATTTTAAATTAATAAAAGCTTTAGCATATGCACCTATTGTTTAAATACATACAGAGAAAACTACTTATAATCACTTAATAATTGTTACATAAATATGTTTATGTATAACGAGGGTATGTTAAGTTGGACTTCTATGAGTCGTCAAAGATATCAATATTTTATTCATCCTGTATACCGTTTTTTTCTAACGGTCTTTATTGGCGCCAGACAGTCGCGCCAGTTTTCGGTGTTTCTTTGCATCTATGTCGCGACAGTCAAGAACTAATCAACGCACAACGCACTCGCAGTGTTTCCATAGCGGGAGAATTCCCGAAAACGGGATACTGTACTTATTCAATGCACAGGATTGATGCCTTATTTTATTTTTATTTTTTTAACGGTTCCACCTTCCACCATTTTAAATTTTCACACGATTTCAAAATCTTGGTTAGTAAAATTATTTTAGCATAGTATATCAAGTGAAACTGTTATTTGATACGTAAACGAAGATCACTTGGAATAAAAAAGAGATAACGATATTCAAACATGATGAAAAGGGATTTTTTGACTCGGCGATCGGGATTTTTTATTTTAGTAGGGTGGAAACACTGCTTGAGTGCTTGAGCTAGGATCTACTGACTACTGTGACTGTGTAGTCGTAGTGTGTGTGTAGTACAGTTGGATAGGAGTGGTGCGCGGGGTAGGTCGGTTGTACTAGACGGCAACGACAGGACTCGTGGTCGCTTTTAAGGTATGTAATTTAATACACTGTAATATTCTTATTGATTTGTGTGATTATAGTACCTAATATACTATCACATGTCTTCATTCACATTTTATGAACCATTATTGCGTCCATAACTAGTTGAAGTATAAAACATAGGTTATTTATAATTATTAGGAATCAGTTGATAAATTAATCACATCTATAAAACAAAGTAGTAAAAGATAAATAGGTGTGTTAAATTGTTAACTGCTCTCCTTTAGTCTAGATTTTCTACATTTTTAAATTGGACTTATTTTTACAATGAACACGTTGTACAGTAACTTTGATTTTGGATACGTAGGCTAGTGCAAACACACTTCTCGTCATACTGTAAAATCTTAAGCTTGTATTGGTGTGTTAATTATGTCTAGTAATGAGGGATGTATGATCTCTTAGTGTATTTAAACGTCAAAAGTTTATTTTTAGTGACTACAATAAATTACAAGACCTATATATTATTTTTGCATGAGTTGTGAATGAGAGGTTCTTGTAACGTTCCTTGACTAATCAGTAGGGCTAGAATATATCTCATTTTGCCAGTTTAATTAGTATATTAGTCGTATTGGCCTAGTGTCTTAAAATTGCACACTGTACAATTTACCTAAAAAGATTGAGACGTATCCATGTGCACATGGAATGAAACAAACACACCAGTTTATTAAACGTTCCAGTTGAAGGTAACAAGTATGTTTTAGTATTAAAAGCAATTAGTTTCATTAAACAAATCATCTCTGTAACAAAGACAAAAGCTTTGGGTAGCGATTGCGTGGTGTTTTATTGGTTCGTTCAATGCGTTGTGAGGTTAGGACGTGTTCAACGTCGCCAGAGCCTGCACACAAGGTAGGAGAGAAGAACACTGACATTGCCAACCCCGAACCCTCTTATCACTGAGTCCACGGGTTTGTTTCTATCAACCTCTGTAGCTCAGCTCTGTCATTTAGTTAGGTTAGATCGTCGTCAAACGTCGAACTCAAACCAACATCGTGTTAGCCGGTGGTCTGTTCCATTGCCCCAACTCGTGAGTATTCCTGTATCTATTTCTAGGTTAATATTCTGGAATGTTACACTTATCTATTCAATAATTCAATAATTACACCTTCCCTTGTAGCTTATCTATAAAATGAGGTTTGTATTTTTAGTGTTGATACAAAATGTGCTTTTTGAGGGCACGTGTGAACTTGGTGTTCAACAATTGACTCTTGTTCAACATAATTGATATCCGAATTAGTACTGATTATATGCTTTTTTACTATCACAATATGACGTATTACGTTAAATAGCTTATCATTATCATACGTGAGAAATTTTGTTTTAGCTAAGCCTAAGTAGAATGTCTTGTGCCTCAAGTTTTATTTCCCAAGGATTTATGTTTTGTCCAGACTTGGACTGGTCAAACTAAGTTTCACATTTTTGCTCACAATACAGTTTCGTGAAACTTTTTTGTCTTTGGTTGAAACTAGGTAAATGCAAACCCTCCTAGGTGGTTAGAGTAGTTTGGTAGGGTTTTCTAGGTTGTAAAACAAGGCTTTCAAGATCTTTCAAGATTAATAGAAAGTTTTTGGATTTTAGATTCCTGATATCAAATTTTTATAAAATCATTAAGGATATCTTTTAGGTACTGTAATCTTTTTTATCTTACCAGGCATACTTCTCTAAACTGTGTTGGATATAATACACTACTTAATAACATTCACTTTGTAGTTTTACTGTGTTGATAGTACTGCCCAAAATAAGAGGATTTATTATCCTATAATAAAGTACCTATGCCTGAAAACCTTATCAATATGACACTAATTTCAAGATGATGACATTAAACAACAGTGTCACTCAATGGTTGTTAATTTACTTCTGACACATTATTTACATTCAAAGAGTAAATTTACTTACAAAAAGAATTTTATTAGAATTATTATTTTAATCTTTTTAAACCATAATTGCCCTGGAATTTCTCATTTCCTTTGATATTTGTTGCTTTTTGCTCTATTTTTTTAAATTCCAAATTGTTGTACTGGATTTAATTTATTCATAATTCGTGTAACTTACAAGAAATGAAAGTTATTCCTACCTGTGAGATGTGTAGCCAATTTATCTTAGTTAATGTTGGTTCGGTAATACGATCTTTCATTTGACCTGTGAGGTCTTTGTCTAAAATTGTAAGTAGTGGTTTATAATTTGCAAAAGTTATGTTGGATTTTCACATTAATGTTTAATATACAAGCTATTTAACTTCATGAGTAACATAGCTTATATCTATTCATTTATTTGCTCAACGGTTACACCAACAAGACATACAACAAGTACATATAATTTCTCCCACTCAAGCAAGACGGATTATAATAATCATAGAGTAATAAGGAGTAGTATTAATTTAATTTAACATATCACATCCTTCACTTACTTTAAGGCCAATGATTCTATACGAGCAAGCTGAAAACCTTACCTAAAATACCTTGTGCTGCGACCAATTATAAGAGAAAAGTCTAGAATATTATGAGTGTTTGGTGTGGTAGCGGGTAGCAGAATTTTACCCCCTTTAATATTAACCCTTCGTCAGTGACACCTCGGAGTTTTCCTCCGTGCGCGTTTGTTTTTATAGAAAAATATTTGTTATCGCAAGCCGGTAACTTAAGTAACAGTACCTTAAGTGCATCTTTCTAGGAACCGATTTGAACATAATTTTGATCTCACACCTCCCGCGCAAAATCCCTATTAATCAGTTGAAACCCGAAGAGTCACGCAGCATGGAGCCCGGCTCTGTGAGTCACCAATGGTGTTGTTGATTTTGTTTGCTATACATTTTTATAAATATTTAAAGTAAGTATTTGAGTTATGTACATGGATTTAGACATTTTTTTAATTATTAGGTAGGTATATGAATAAAAAAACAGGTTTGCCGGAATTGTACCTTCTCGAAGTGTACCCCCCACTGATCGCCGGCATCATTTTGAGGTCACTCCTAGAGAGGTTACAATTCCACCCCATACACTCTTTGATTTTAACAAAATCTAATCTATTTAATGTGGACAAGTGATCAACCCCCCTGTTACCTCTCCATGTTAATTAACCTAACGGGAAGAATGCACGGAACTGCCACTGAGTTGCTGAATTAGCACTTAAAAAAAATGACTTGATGACAAACGCACAGTGCTCAGACAACCACTCTTCTGTGACTACAGATAGTGGCATTGTGTAGGATTTCCAACCAAGCCAACCCCTAATACCCTCAAACGACCTGTCGCTGAATAGTGCTGGAAATAGATCGGTTTTTTGCAGCACTCTGTACATACACTCAGTCCTCGATTTGTAAAAAATTAGGTGCCGGAACTGTAACCTATTTAATTTGATTTAACATATTTATGCCAATATTTTTATCTTTTTGAAAGAGAGGTACCAGAACTCAGTTCCGCGTGTTCCTCCCAAATTGAGCACTCCATATACTACTTAAGTTAAAGGCATTTTTACTGAGAAGAGTAATTTAAATGATTTGCTCAATTTTTAAATCCCTTTATAACTGTGTCAACTTATTTATTTACAGTGCATCAAGGACCAGTCATTTGGAGCCAAGCTCTAGTTTAAATTAATGAAAACTGGCTGGGACCTTGAAAACAAAAGTTCATTTGTCCGAAAATAATCGCTCACTACACAAGGTAAGAGTACAATCAAGTAAATACAATAATTACTCTTAGTAAATTTCAACTTAAATTAACTTCTTAGCTTGGTTCCTCACAAAAATCATATTAGTTTTGTACATTTTTTGGTGTGATTGAATACCAATTTTTTGCAATCCTTGTAGCTTAACAATCAAAGTAATGCTATAAGAAAAATAATTTTTTTTCTACAGTCAACCGATAAAGTGGGCTTCCTTGCACTGATTTATAGTAGGTACAGAAAGACTTACTTTGCCGCACAGTTTTTACTTTGTCACACAGTTTTTACTTTGTTTTACTTTACATGCCAGTATTCCAACCAAAACAGCTTGCTTTTATTATGCACATAAACCTTGTACGCTTGGAAATAGGTTGGCATCACTTAAAGATACCACAACTACGATCATAGCTGTTGCAGTGTTTCCCATTTCGTTCAACTCTTGGACTTAACCTAACCTAAAATGTGTTGTTTAGTGTTTGAAAGACTAATTATTTCTATGCTTTATAATAACTGTAGGAAAAATATAATGTGTAACATGTGTGCAAATTGCCTTTGCTGCACTCGACAAACTTTCCACACTCGCATACGGCTTGTGGGTAAACTTTATCTCGTGTGCAGCAAAGGGCTACTTTGCCCACTAGTTACACAAATAACCATTCTTAGTTGCTATTCTAAAAAAGAACCTTTTTGTTCCTATATAAGATTACAAATAAATAATTGACTATAAGTAAAATTCCTTAAAACATTTTGGTCTTACTACAAACAATTATAATGGAAACTTAACCAACTTTAAAATATTGATTGAACTTCATTCATCCTCGTAACCTCAAATCCAAACACTTTGTCTATAGGTTACAATGTCAGGAAGCACTCAAAATAGGAGTTCTCTGCGTACCGTTGCAAGCAGACAAGTTGTGGTGTCTGTCTCCAGAGGAGCGGGGGCCAGACGTGTCACGCAAGGTCCAGTTCTGCGTCCAGCTCTTCGAATGAACGCTGCTATCAGGCCGCTAACACCTGCGCAGTTTGCCGAGGCGCAGGCGCAAAATCAGCCAAGTGCAGCTGCCAGTGCTGCAAACAGAACTGGGCGCATTGGCCGTCCTAGTCTTAGAGCCACTGTTGGCAGAGTTTTACAGAGAAATTCTGTGGCTACTCGGCTAGCCACCAACGCTGCTAGAGCCCCTGTAGCTCCTGTGCACGGAATTCCTCAACGAGGTATGTTGCAATTTTCAATTTCCTAGTTCATTAGAGGTGGGCGTTATTTAACATACTAGTATGGATAATGCTATTGCTATTACTGAAGCTGCACCTATTTACCATGGTAATAGATTACTGAGAACACAGTATTATTTTTATATCTGTCTAAACTCTTTGAATGAGGAGGGAAATAACGCAGATCTTATTAACAGCGATCATACAAAAAAAAAAAAAAAAAAACCACATTGGGTATTTTGGTTCCAGAATCAACAAGTACGAGGTAGTATCGTTTCACATATTACAGTACTATATCTAAAGCTAAGGAACATTCTTGACTGTTATTGTAAATTACAGTAACAGCATTTCCCATTTATTTGAGTTCAGTGGTAGCTTTTGGTGGCAATTTAAAGCAGTAAACATTTTTGAACGTAAACATTTAACAAGTGGTAAGCCAGAATGGAAATGAGTTTATTTTTATAATGTGCAGCCATTGCAAAATTTTTATCCCCACTACAAAAATCAATAGATTTAAGGAAAGATGAATAGTTGCCTAGTTAAATTGTACAATTTTTAATAATGGAATTATGCAATTTTAAAAGGGTATAAAACTATACCGAGAAGGAAGCATTATTTCTGACAGTTTAGTAAACAACCTGTCCGTCAAGAATCCTGGATGAGTAGGGATGAGCATCGATAGGTCAACCATCAATGTTCAGCATCGATGCGATGGTAACATCGACGTCAACCATCAGTGTATCGATAACATCGTTGCAAAAACTTCTTATGTTTTTTGGGGCTAAAACATCAATGTTTTTTTCAATGTATTTTCAGTTTTTGGTCTGCTTTTCGTTCTCTCCAGTAGGGGACATTGATAACCTACCATCGATGTAAAAAACATCGAACATCTATAGAAAAACATTGATGTTGCGAAAACATCGACTATCAATGCTCATCCCTAAGGTGGAGTTCCTATTTGTTTGACAGGTATAATATGGCTTTGGATTTTTTTTCAAGATTTCTAAATAAGAGTTTTACGAAGAATCTGGTGAACCCTTATACAGCGCAACGCGGCGGTTAAGTAAGGATGGGTTATCATAAATATGTTTGTAGGACTTTCCTAGTTTTGTTATGAATTGAACGATACCAGATGAGTCATACTTTCGCCTGCCAAATCCTCTCCAAGTAGACCAAAATAAGTTCGTTGACCGGAGCGCGCGCATCCCCTGTCACCGCCTGTATCTGAATTCTGGGTCTGTGCCCAGAGTGATTTATTGCTGTGCACTAGGTTAGTTTTGTATCCATAATGAGTGACTTCTTTTAAACGAAATGAAAGTCCTACAAACACATTTATGATAATCCAACTTAACATAGCCGCTGCAGCGCGCTGTATATAAGTGGCCCGGTGGCCTCCGTTTCGACTCAACCCACAAACTCAACATTGCTCCCTTCTGGGAGGCAGAATTTAAAGGCTGCTAATCGTAATCATGTCAAATTTGGACAGTAAGTCAATTAAAGTATGTTCTTTCCAATTATGTAGTTATTTGTGATATCCGGTACAAATCCCATTAAAATAAGCGGCCTCAATCCCGGGATTATAGTGTTTTAATCTGGGAATAAAACAAAACCTAATAGGGTTAATAGGGTTACAAAACCTATTTATTTTTGTGTGAATATGAGGAGTTTGACTTACGGAAAGTAAATAAAAATATGTCTAATAACACTCGAAATATAAATTTACGCTTATAATGTTTACTTACAGGAAATAAATACATAATAATACATTATATTAAATACATATAAAAGATGGTAAGTTGTGATCTATTTTGATTGGATACTTCAATCATCATTAAACTCAATAGGGACGGATGGTGAATGTATGCCTATATTATCAATAATATATACTGTAAATATGAAAGACGGTTGATAAAAGTTCCTTCTAGTGATGGTCAAAACCAGAAATTTCGAATCTCAAAACCAAAACCGAAACTATACAAAATCGAATCCCGAATCTCGAATCTCAAAACCTAAACGCGAAACTTTTTTACTTAGCTGGTTACAAAGGTCAAGGTTACAAAAAAATACACATAATCATAAAATGTTAAGTATGCAATCAAAACTGAAAGAGACTCCTGACCGTGACATATAAATATGTGAATGTGACTGATAATCTTAAAACTAGGGATGGTCAAGTCTCGAAATTTCGGGAAATTTTCAATCTCGTTACACGAGACGAGATTACTTTTTGGCCGAGATTTTTATCGAGACGAGAATAAATAAAAAAAAAAAAAAAAATAATAAAAAAAATTAAAAACGCCTGCAGAAAGTCAATGCAATACAGGAGCGTGTTGTAGTTGCGTTTCCTTTTCGAAGGCGTTCTTATTTAATTAATTCTTTTAATGTAAATATTACTTTAATTCTTTTAATGTAAATATTACTTTCATTATTTTAATAATATTACTTTAGTAACATTTGAGAAGTTTTGTTAAGTGTAAGCAGTGTGAGGAATGTTTTATTACTATAAAAAAGTCAAAACAAGTAACTATTTTATAAAAATTAATATTGCTTTTATTTTATGATTTATTTTATTTTAGGATAAGTTGAACTCTATCCTAACTGATATCACCATGTTTCCTAATCGTAGGCATTTTTAATAAGTTAGGCGTGATTAATAAAAAAATGTTATGCTGATGTTATTTAATGAAAGATTGTAAATATTCTTGCCTATTATCATTATTTTAGTATTTAAACAGTCATCTAACAATGTTACAAAATCAGGTAAAAATTTCGAACGTGCATTTCCCGTTGTGTATGAGAAGAGAAATCTTGTCTCGATCTCGTCTCGAAATTTTATGAGAAATAAAAAATCTCGTCTCGTCTCGTCTCGAACTAAAAATCCAATCTCGTCCATCCCTACTTAAAACCCAATTCAACATAATTATTCATAAACAAAAACAACAACAAAATTAAACTTCTAACACCAACATAAACATGATTATTAGATTAATTAGAACAGTGGTCAATATTTCTTTTTTTTTTTTTTTGTAAATATTGATGTGAAACTGAAACTAAATTGTACCAGTTATAGTATTTAAAATACCTTTTGAAGTTCAGAATAAAATTTACTTGTTTCATTACTGTTAATGGTGATGTTTGCTCTGTTTCTACCAGCTTGTTTGGAAACAGCATTGAAAACAATAACAATAGCACAAAAAAATATCAGCAGTTTAAAAAATAAAACTGCCATCTCGAAACTTGGTGATCGAATCTCGAAACCGAAACTTTTCCTAAGTTTTGATGGTTTTGAGATTTGAGATTCGGTTTTGACACATCACGAGTTCCTTCCGTGTGGTAATATATAATTTTTTTTAATTTAGAAAGATAGCAACATTTTCTAGGTAACATTGGTAAGGTCAGTTTAGATCTTTAGAGGATTCAACTAGGGGACTCCACGTTCATTTAACATGGCTAAAAAATTAAAATAATATAATAGGCTATAAAAATCCTGGGATTGATTCTGAGATATGTTTAGACAAATCCCAAAATCCTGGTATTGAATTCAAGCCCCGGGATTGAGGCCCCTATGTGGTAGCTTTGACTATCAATACACAACTAGACTGTCCATCTCCATGTTAAATTTGTAGCCAGCTTTTCTATCAAGACCGTCGTAGTTGATGTGAGCCACCTACAGATTGTGCTGATCTAAATTACTGAATTCTGCCGAATACACAATCTTTTTAACCAAGTCAAACATAGGGAATGACTTATGATGACTTATAGCAACTCCCATCAACTTGGTCAAAAAAAAAGGTATAAAATAGAATTTTAGACACTAGCGCATTCTGTGACTGGCACACACAACTACATTCTTTTTTAATAAAAAATTGGGTAGGTACAACTGGTCCATATAGATGGAAAGTCTACTTCAGTATCCAATAGTCAATGGTAGCTGGTACTAAAATCTGCTCTGAACCCTTTTGACATTGTTGTCATGGTTTCAGAATCAGTCACAGACTCACAAAAAAAATGGAATTAAATGAATCTTTATAAAAGATTGAATCTTACTAATATGATAAATGTGAAAGTTTGTGTGTTTGTTTGTTTCAAGTTCAATCACGCATTAACTACTAGACGGATTCGGCTGAAATTTAGCATGATGATAGCTCACATTCTAGATTAACATATATTCTTATCTCAAAAATCCTTTCGGGCTCCGCCCCAGTGGCTCTGTAATTCCCCATGTTAACCTTATGAGTATTAATATTTAATGGGAATTAAAGAATTTAGTTAGCTTTTTCAACTAAAAAAGTTGGTTCTATGATATGCAAAAGCATTAAAAGTTATAAAGATTGATCAACAGGGTGCAGCACTATTATTTTTTTATTTATGTAAACAGCTAATTTGAACCAAGCATCAACAAAAAACCGTGATATGCAATGAGAACTGTCAAAGTTGGATTGTTTACACTTATGTTTATGTTTTTAATTTCATGAATAATTTGTGATATTTTGTGAATCTTTAATAATTTATTTTTCTCTAATTGTTTAGCTGAAGTGGTAGAACATTATGGCTATGTTAGATGTGTAATACCATTGACTAATAGTTAAAGGTGATACTATATAATACCGTAAATTTAGAGAAGGAAATTTTATCAAACTGTGTACTCCACCATTGTAAACGCAAACCTTGAGTATAAATGCAATAAGCATTTTATACTTATATGCCAATCCCTTACGAAGGACGAGTACTCTGCTTGTAAAGAATATGTTAAAGTCAACTTAACCCTGTAATATTAATCCATGTCCACTTTAAAAAATCCATGTTAGTAAAGTTTCAATAAATATTTGTTTTCCTGATAATGTTTGTATTTTGTAGTGAGGACTCGCCGGTCTGCTGCTAATGAAATCCCACCAGCCGCAAGTATTCCATTCGTAAACTCTACAAATGTGTCTGAGTCACGAATCTCTCTGTAAGTAATCTTTTCCAATTTTGATGATAGGATAATACAAGGGTTGAGATAGAGATATCTAGTTTTGGCCGATATTGTTTTTAACTGATGGCCTTCAAAATGAGGTGTAACTTGATAGGACTTTGTATTTAAAAACTTAGAGCTGACCCCAAAATACCCTATTTTGGGCTCCTGGGAAAAACTGTCATACCGACCAAATAGAAGTTTTTGTTTTTTTGTTACAGTAAAAGGGGTTACAACCCATGAAAATGTTAATAGGGGATATTGATGTATATTTATACATAGGGTCTCTCAGGATGAATGAAAAAGGATTGAGATAGAAACCTCTAGTTTTCACCGATATTCTTTTAAACTAGTGTGTTATATTTAGTGATGGGTCGGTACCTCACGTCAAATCTCGGTTCTGCCGGTTCTTGGCAAAAGAACTGGAACCGAGAGCCGATGGTGAAATGTCGGTACTGGTACCTTCGGTACCAATAATGCCGAACAGTCACCGATATTGCCGCGATCGCGCAATTCAATTCAAAGATACTTTATTCACAGATATACAAAAGTATACATGAATGGCGTTGTTACGTATTAGTGTATTATTTATCTTAAATTGAATATTAAAAGTGATTGTTCATAGGTAAATTACGAAGGACCACCGCAAATTACATTGCGGAAATAATAAGAAACTTGAAAACATGTACCTTTACAAACTCCAGTGCAGACGTAGGGGGAAGTAGGAAAGATGGCGTATTTGAACTTCAGATACGTGTCGGCGCTGTGACGAACCCTTGGTAGTTGGATGTTGGATGAGACGATTTTCGCTCTTCTTTCTGCTTGAAGGCTTGATGTTCGCACGTAACGCTAAGTCTTTTATTGTTCCACTTTAATTACGCAGAAGTCGCGACACCGCATTGGACACTGATTACTTGATGGTGCATGATTCGTGAGTTAATAAAACGCAAATAAAAATACTACTTGTCACTAAAACAACAAAATAACTTCAGAATAAGAGTGGGCAATATCAATTGCAATTAAAATGACAACTAAAAAACAACTTGATTAAATAATGTTAATGGCAATGAGGTTAAAAGAGGTGGCCAGTACTAGACCATATTCATAGGGCCGTGGACAGAGAGAGAATGACCAGGTTACCTGTCTGAGGCGAACGACAAGCGATAAGGACAATGACATGAATAGAGCGATAAGATTGTTGTCTGAAGATAAAACGGACTTGGGTTCTGTGGCTTTGGCGTTTGGCATTACCATTTGTTTTTAAAATAAAATAAATATTCTTCTTTAGAATTAATATAAAGTTAATAGTTCCTTTTTCCTTCTAAATATTAAACAGGCGTTCAGAACAATACATCATACATTTTATCACCTAATAACTAGATAGAAAAGTGATACACTATACATACTTATAAAATAAATATTTATTTAAATGACCTTAAACAATAAAAAATTCCTCAAAACTGTATAGCGCTTTGGCCGCAAGAAATCTTTTTAATTTCCTTTCAAAGCATTTCAAACTCTTTTAAGATTTTATGATTTCAGGAAGGTAGTTATAGTATTTTATCCCAGAAACAGTTGGATTTTTGTTTGAAATTGCTTTTTTGAAATATTGATTTGAAAATTTTCTGATTTCTTGTATTATATGTGTGAACATTTCGTTGTCTTGGCAAAGTCTCTTAATTATTTTTACATGTAATACTGTTCTATAAATATACCAGACCAAAGACAGTCATAATTTTCGGATTACAAAAATGATCTCTACAATGATCCTCATCAGGAAGCTAAAGCATAGTCCTTATTGCAACTTTTTGAAAATGTAGGATTCTTTGTAGATTAATAATTGATGTTTCACCATAAAGCTCTATACCTTAAAGAATGTGTGAGTGAATTAACGAATAATAAACTGATTTCAATGAGTCCAAATTACAAAAAAGGGCCAGTCTTCTCAATGCAAAATTTCCTGAATTAATTTTAAAACATATTTTCCCAAAATGTGTTATCCAGTTAAGAGTGTGATCTAATTGTAGGCCCAAAAAAGTAGTATTTTCAGAAAGTTTTGCTGCGATCGTGGGAGACGACGATGACGTCTACACGGCTTCAAGAGATGCTTATGATTTTTCCGCGATCGTGGACGAAGACGAAGACGTTTCCGCGACAGCGGGATTTCATGATGTTGTCTACACGGCCACGGGAGATGTTCATGATTTTGCCGCGATCGCGGGAGATGATGATGACGTTTCCCTGACTGCGGGAGTCAATGATCTGTTATTTTTTTGTACAATTAAGTTTTATTTTCTTAATCCCTTAAGTTTTGTACCAACCTATTACTAATACAAAATACTGTAAAATTGAAATACTAAATGATTTTTTTGTTAAAAAAAATTAAGTAGCCTGTCTTAAAAAATTAAAATAAGGTAAAAAAAGGTACCAATGGTACTGGAACCGAGAATTGTAAATCGATTTCGGCTAGGTGCCGGTACTGACTTTCACAAAGTGGTACCGACCCATCACTAGTGATAATGCACTTATTGATTATGGAGACAATTTTAAGAAATTGTAAATTGAAAATGCCCATGATATTCTTATGGAGGATAAGTAAACAGTTTATGTTTGCTTGATTATGAACATATTTGATCAAAATTTAATAATGCATTTATTTCTTTCCATACTATTAACATTTTACACAAAAAACACACTTTTTTACCATTCCTGTTGCAGAAAACCTAAGTACTTGTACTTACACACACACTACAGTAGTCTTCCTCTTATCCGGACTCCTTCTGGATCAAGGATGACAGAATTTCCGGTTGAACCGACGTCCCCAAAAATTCCTTAAAACTGACCGTTTAAATGCATACTGCATACAGTATCTGAGTTAAATTTAGGAGAGCATTGTATTTACAAACGTGATCACTGGTCTCAAATCTTTACCACGAGAACAGTCGTTTTAGTACCGCCCACTACCTGCCGATCTGGTCCAAATAAACCGATGTGCTGAATTGCCCGGTTAAAGAGATGTCATTTTCACCGAGTGTAGTCCGGTTAATCCGATGTCTGGTTAAAAGGGTTGTGATAAGAGGGAGTCTTCTGTAATGCTATTTAAATGCCATATTTTTGAGGATACATTTTAGTGTAAATCCAATCAGGCAAATGTAAATTTACTTAGTCTGCAGGTTTGCTGCGGTGAGGGTATTTATTATCTCAATTGATAATTTTTATTTTTTTTATAAGAGAAGGTTCTTTACTTTATTTGTTGTTACAGCAGGAAAGAATCTGGGCTGTGCTACATTTCCTTCCAGTGTCCTCAATCCTTTTGGGTCCCAGTAAACTCCTCCTTTCATGCAAGAAATGGAGTCGTTTACTTTAGGCAACATACCTACTTGATCCAGCCCCCTGCCTAAGTTGATTCCTGTCTTCTATCTTGTGCGAGACTGATTCTCTAATTCCGTTATTCTTTCTTCCTCATTCCCTTTTATTTTTGGCATCAAAGTCCAGGGGAAATTCTATAGCTCTGTGTCACGCCTCTGTTGGGTTACTATGCGCAGGGTTGCAAAAGCTGAAATGACAAAAATGGTCAGACGGTGGTGCTCTTCTCATATTTTTGGAACCTCTCGTGTGTTTTCGTTTTCAGATCCTCTCTTCAGAATTCTGAAAGAATGAATCTTCTGCAAGATTTGCCAAATGAGCTACAGTCGCTCTGGCGAAGTGGGAGGAAAAGCGAGAGAGTTGCCGAGTCAACCTTCCCTACCCAGACTGGCAAACTGCAGCCTTTTAAACAAGTATATAGTAATTCTATCTACACTGCTTTAGCCTCACAGCTTTCATCACATCTATATTGATATTCATTTATTTCTTCAGCTTTGTTTGTTTGTCATTTTCTTTTCTTAACTGTAGCTTGCTTGATTCATCTTGTTTGTCAAAGAGTCTCTTCTTTCTTCAACCACATCATTTCCAGCAAATTTTTTATTCATTAATTCAATTACTTTAAAATCATCCATGTTCCATAGTTTTCTACTTTTCTTGAATTCTTTACTGTTATTTGATTCAGGCAAATTACTTGTAAAGAAACATATCGATTAATTGTCACCCCACTAAATTTAATCAGTGTCTTACTCCTTGTATTTTTCCAAACAGTCTCTTTTTATTTCTAGTATATACTTTAAGTTTAATTTCCCCCTTCAGCAATCGCTTCATTACAAAACTTTTGGAAGAAGCTATATTCTTCGATCATTTTCACTCTATGTATGGGCACAACTGTTATGAACTCTTCTTTTGCAAGTGGACCGAGATTGTGTCTTCCCAATATTGTTTTCCTATTATACCCCTTTCATCTAGCAGTTAATACTAGACAGTTCATTAAGTACTTGCCCAATGTTAAATTTTGTAAAACCAAATATCTTTTGAGTTTGTAAACATTTTGTTTTCTTTTTCAACATTAAAAATAACTCACAGTAAAATAATTTGTGATCTGAGATTGAGTTCCCTCTGTGACCTAGTATTGTTTGTAGGTATCCAACATTGTTTTTATTGGGTCTAGCTGCCCTCTTCACTCTTGTTAAATGCTCTAAAAAGGTTCAGGCCCGTTTTTGACTATGTCAGCGCCCTAGGCACAACTAATAGTAGTGCCCCTTTGCAATATATATAACAGGGTGAGCACCGACCGGGAATTAAGTTTGCATTTTTTTGAACCGGGAATTATGCGTGAATTTTGTATTTTTACGTGGAATTATCAATTTACCGCGATGGTGCATGTCAACAGTGACGATTCCGTGACCACAGGAGACGATAATATGTCTCCACAAGGCCGCTAGGGATGATCAGAACATGCTGTGATCGCATGAGACGATGATAATGTCCAAACGACCGCGGGATATGATTATGACTTTTACCGCGATCGCGCAATACGATAATGAGATCTACAGAAAAGCGAAGGATGATCAAAATATTGCCACGATCGCATCAGAGGATGATATAGTCCAAACGACCGCGGGATATGA